CTGACTTTCAGGAAAGTGCGCTTTGCTGTATGTGTGGCGGCCTCACAGACAAAATTAAAACGAAGATGTTGGTGCTGTGCGGTCAGGAAAGGAGAAGCGTTCAGATGGTGATGCAGATACAGTGTGAGCAACTTTACCCTTTTCTGTGCGCTTCTGGGGAACCAGCTTCGTCTGACTGTCCCCAGCGGTCCCCGAGGCTGTGAAAAGGCTCCTGTTGCATGGCCGGGCTATGGATCTGGCCCTAAATGCACTTTGGTCCCTTCACAAGTCTCATCGTTTGCAGCTCTCCAAAACCAGTGTCTGATGTTGCAGAAGTGCCTCTGATAATTACAGCTGCTCGAGAGGTCCCATTTTGTTACCCCTCTGCAGGAAGTTCAGGACACCTTATCCAGGGGGACTAGAAAGCGGCTCTTTCCTGTAGTTGATGTATGAACCAGGTATTTCCTTCATTTTTCCCCAAAAGCGTGGCACTGCCAAGCTGCATTTGCTTGACCGTGGAGCTGGCGGGATCCCTTTGCATCAGGAGAATCCCAACCTGCGCTCTTCCTTACGGGAAGAGGCACACAACTGCCACATGGCCCTGCTCCCCACGTCCCTTCCCTTTTAGCTGAGTGACAAGCAATATTTCAGGGCAGAGTAGAGGCGTCCGTCCCGTTACCAGCACGGAGAAGTTTCCCCAGGCTTTAGGATTAGCTCCACTGTGGTTTAGGTGCACTTCTTTGCTGTTCGGTTCGTAGCTCACGAGGTGGAAGTCGCAGGATCTGGTGGCTAAGCCAGGGACAGCTTATTAAGGAGCTAGGGTGGTTCTGAAAGCAAATATTGAACTAGAGGGTGTTTTGTGTCTGAACCGGCTGTTCAGATCCAAAACAGCTTGGCAGCAGGCTCTTGCCCTGCAGTCTGTGTCTGTATTTGGGGAGAGTAAGAGTGAAAAGGGTGGTGCTGCTTTCTCCTAATAGCGGTCCTGTTGTCCTCAGGGGTGCGTGGTGCTCTGATTTTGATTAGCACCAGCACACTGACCCCAAGGCAGAGGTTTAAGCTTTAGAAGTCAGGATTTGGGGCGGGATTCCTTGCTTTTGCACTGGTGTGCAGTGTCTCTACGAGGACATCCCACCACAAGCTTCATAGGATACATGCTGCCTTTTAGGGATGGGAAGATAACCCCGGAGTTAGCCTTGGGCAACAGAAGAAGACATGCTTGGACAACTCTAAGGAGAACATTTCTTTAATATAGCTTGAAAACAAACCCACTAAAACCAGAATCCCCTCTTGAGCGTGTGGGTTTGCAGCATGTAAAATCTGCAAGTAGATGTTGATTTAGTTGTTGGGGTTTTTTTTCCCCTGAAAGAAAGCCACAGGTTTTCAGAGCCTTTTGGCTGTTGCTGGTTGTTTTCATTTGAGGAAGAAAAGGAAGAAGAAAGCGCTTCCCACTGTACCCGCCGAGCAGCCCTGCGGTGTGTTTTGAAGGCAAGCTGAAACATGCCCCGTAGTTGCACATTGCAGCTGAATACTTAGATATAATGCACTCTGAAGAGTCTCCCATGGCTTTGTGTAAGTACGGTCAGTACAGTTTTGTTGGTTAGGTCCCACATCTGTGCCTCCCATGAGGAGACTGTGGTTTAAAGGGTTTAAAATTGTGGCTAGTGACTGGCACGAGATCAGTGATAAGTCTCTCCTGGGGCTGTTGGTGCTGCTGGCAATCGAGGACAACTTGGCAGGGGCTCACAGCTTTGGTGCGTTTTGCTCCAGTCCAAAGCCAACTTGCTGAGTTCAGTGTTTTTTATTATTTTGCAAATCAATGTTTTCACAACTTGAGTCTGAGGGAACACAAAAATGTGTGCGCTAGGTTTTTAAATTGCTGATTGCTTTTTTCCCAGTAGAAAGAAGTGGAGAGAGACTTGAAGCTATGGGCTTCCAAGGCCTCAGAAACTAAAGGACCCGTGTAGGACAGTGGGGAGCAGAGCAGAGCCGTGCGTGTCCTGGAAAGCAGCTTGGCAGAAAAGGCCCTGGGGGGGTCCTGGTGAGCACCAAGCTGACCATGAGCCAGCAATGTGCCCTTGCTGCAAGAAGGCGGAGGGTGCCCGCTGCATCAGGAGGAGCGTTGCCAGCAGGTAGAGGGAGGTGGTCCTTCCCCTCTGCTCAGCACTGGTGAGGCCACGGCCGGAGCGCTGGGTCCAGTGCTGGGCTCCCCCGTGGAAGAGAGACAGACATACTGGAGAGAGGGCAATGAAGGTGATGAAGGGACTGGAGCCATCTCTCCTGTGAGGAAAGGCTGAGAGAGCTGGGACTGTTCATCTTGGAGAAGAGAAGGCTCAGGGGGATCTTACTGATGTACATAAATGCCTGAAGGGAGGGTGCTTACAAGGCAAGATAAAGCTGCTGTCCAGGTTGGGTGCAGATGGGACCAGCTCAGCACAGTCTGTCTGATTCTCTATGGAGTCCAATCCAGGAGAAAAAAAAAGCCTAAACTGCACAATGATTTACTGACAGGGCCAGTGCTGCCTAACCGAGCCTTATAACTTTCCTTGCAGTTGCGACCACAGCCGGGGAGACCAGCAGGGATGTCTGGACATGGTCCTGGGCAACCGGCTCTGGGTGGCCTTGCTTGAGCAGGAGGGTTGGACAAGACGACCTCCAGAGGTCCCTTCCCACCCCACCCCTTCTGTGCTCCCGTGACCTCGTACTGCACGGGTGCGTGGCCAGCCTGTCCGGCGGTGGCTGGGAGCTGCAGCACATGGTGGGTACATCCCCTCCGTAGCAGTTGTTGCCTGCGTGGCCATCTGATGCTGACGGGCATGCTGGAGCCTGCCCGCTGCTCTGTGCTGCAGGTGGAGGGTCACACGCTGTCCTGGATGAAGCCAGATCACACAAGTGCAGCAATAATTGATTGATCGTTCAGAGAAATGAATACCGTAAGCGGGGTAGGAAATGGTAGCTGAAGCCAGGAGGTCCCTTCCAGCTGGCAGAGTTTTAAACCCAGGACAGGAAAAGGGAGAGGAATCCGTGCAAGTGGGATGGGAAGTGCTGAGCTAAGGTTGCCCTAATTGCTGGGGAAAAAACAGCTCTGCCTCCGGCCAAGGGAGACTGTCAGGTCTGGGGAGCTGCGTGGTCCATGTGGGCCAAGTGGTGTTTTAAACAGGACTTGTACAGTCGTTAAAGTGAGCACAAAATGAAGAAGGCTTTCTCGGAAGTCCTCAGCGCCTTCGTTTTCCCCCGAAGTCACTAGAAAACCTATTGACCCCTTGGAAATGGAGTCATGCAGCAGTTAGGGAGGACTTGAAAATCTGCTGGTGAATGGGAAGAATAAAACTTGTAGTACGGTAAAGCAGCGAGAGAGTCAGAAAGAGTAATTCCCCTTGCCACGCATGCTGGCTGTTGGGTAATAAAATAAACTATTTATGGAGGAAATGTTGTGCAACCCCTTTTGAGCAGAGTATTTGCCTGTCAAAGTAAATCAAAAACCTTTTTTGCACACAAAAAACCCAAAGACAAGGAGTGTCTTCTGCGTTAAGGCGGGGGTGTGCAGCTGTAATTGAGACCAGTGTTGCTGGGGCTTGATTCTAGATATGGGGGGGCATGGGGACAGCACAGCAGTGGCAAAGACTTGGCAAACTAATAATTGAAGATGATATCCTAATTAAAATTGCTGAAAAGGTGATAGGATCCCAGTGACTGTAGTTGCTGGATGTGAAGGCAAAATATCAGCATCAGGTATTGTACTGGGCGAGGTGCTCTGACTTAAATCACTGCTATGCAAAGATGCTGGTGAAAAAAAGTGGTTTTCAAGCCTTAAAATTAACTAAAACACCTCCGTGAGCTGATTGTCTAATGAAGAACTAGAAGGGAATGGTTCAGAAAGTGTTTGTGTGGATATTGATAGTTCCTCCAGTGGGTATTTGTAGTAGCTTGCTGCAGAAAACAACTGCTGTTACTCTTTAAAGATAAACAGTATTATTTACCGTATCTTTCTTTGCCCATAAAACGTTAATGATATGGGACAAAGTTAAATCAGCCCAAGTTTTGTGCTGCGGCGGATGTTAGTGCTGGCCCTGGGGAAGTCCTCTCTGATGTGGGAGAAATGCCTTTAAGTCTCATTGTCTCAGTTCTTTTACTGTATAGAGGATGCATCTTGCTGAACGCACTTGGGTGAATTTGCAATTTACCCTGTTCTTGCAGCTTTTGCTTTTAACACTATAGCTTTGTTACTCTGTGTTTAACTGACCAGCCTTTTAAAAAGAAAATCCTCTACTGGTCCACATGAACAGACCAAATGATCAAATCAACACGCTGAAATTGGAGGATGCTGGGAGAAACCTTCCAAAAAAGAAACCAAAACCCACAAAACCTCAAAAAAACAAACACTGCCTTTTAATTTCATAGCTAGTAGTTTGGCTCTTTTGCTGTATTGTGTTTAGGTTTGGTGGGAGGAGGAAAGAAGCCTATGCTGATAAATGCAAATAAACACAAACCTCTGTTCCCAGCCATCACGTAAGGTCAACTTTATTAAAACAAAGAAGGGAAGGTGGAAAAGTATCTGCTCTGCCTGACTGATAGATGCAAATTTGGGGGTTTCTTTTTTCTTTTTCAGAGCAGTTGTATAGAGGGAAGTTTAAGGGGCTCCTCCTATGGCTGTGACAGTGGCAAAGTGTCGTGAAGTATTTGCATGGCCGTAAGTCTCTCCAGAAGGGCAGGGGCTCATGGTCATCAGCATATAAAAAATCCCCCTTCTGACGGTGGGACGCAAGGTAAAAATCTTGCTGTGCTGTTTAAAAATATATAAAATCTACTGTTTTCCAATGGCTGTCCTGTTCCGCATCAGTGAGGCCGCTCGGGCTCCTCGTAGCCATCCAGTCTTAGCCCCTTCTGTTTCACGGGCGAGGTTGCATATTCACGGTGCTGTGTGCGCATTATGCGGCTGGGGAGAGTTCCACCTCGTTATATACGTTCCTGCAGCAGAGCACCCCTGTATACCTGCCTCCGCGGCTCAGCCGGCCGGGCTAAGCATGGAGAAGGTGGGTGAAGTTGATTCGGTGAGTAACCTCGCCCGGGTCCTGCCCAAACATCAGCTTAGGAAAACCCGGCCGTTACGGCTTTACTTTCTTTTTGCTCAACCCCAACAAGGAATTCATTGTTTGCACTCAAACAATTTAAGATCTCTGCTTTCTGTCAGGGGCGCGGGATATGAAAAAGCAAGTAATTCTGGTGTTAGGGCCTTGAACGATGCGAGCTGTGGTGGGTGAGACAGCAGAGACAGTCGCAGCTTTGTCACTCAGCTGTGAAAAGGGACTTTCTTGCAAAATTTCCATTTACCTCATCTCTTCAGCTTGTCTTATGGGTATCAACAGCGTTGTAAAGAAATACCAGCAGCCTTTCCTGGAGCCCCAGTGAGTCAGTCGGGGATGTTTGGGGCGGAAGGGGTAAGATTAGGATGTTCTTCTCGCCAGAACAGAATGCAGCAGGCAGCGATGCAGCCCCACGGGCCAGGAGAACTGGTTCTCCCGTATCAGCCTTGCATCACTCCTTGGCTGCCTGCGCTGGGCTTTGTGCCAGCTGCATTGGGCCAAGCCTCTCCGTGCATCGCGTGATCCTACTCTGCGCTGAATTTTTCTGCACGTGAACTTCCGAGCAGGAGACTAAAACAATTGCGAAGAACAACAACAATTTCTAGTATTGATTTCTCAGAATAATCCCGGCAACCTTGTATATAATTTTAGATGTGTTTAATCATGAAGAAGGAATTATTTGATCTCTTCCTCCCCAAAAGTAATTGCTTAAACTGGCCTTTGTATTTGTGAAAGATTTTTTTTTTTGAGACCCAACAGAAACCTGTTTAATCAGGCGTACTTTACACTTTTTACTCTTGACTTAAGGCCTGTCTTCAGCAGTGCAAAGGACATTTCTTTACTCCTCTTCTAGAGAAGTTTCACTGTACATCTAGGAATGGGCTGAAGGTTTTGCAATGTTGGGGGAAAATGCCTCCACTGGATTTTGAACTTGCCTTAAGTACTGGGAAGACTTAATTTATATTCCGAAACATTTTTTCATCTTCGCTTTCAAAGTTTGGCTCTGGGACTCAACTGCAAAAATAAAACAGGGAACAGATCGTTACCTGAAATGCCTTCCAGTCCTGAGTGACCCTGCTCTTCAGGCTTCAAAAGCTTCACTTCGAATTAAAAACCATGGGTGAAGCCGTGGCTGTTTCTCAGTTTGTGGGGAAAAAATGTGAACTTCCTTTAAGCTAGATCTTTACCCCAAGTCTTTTATTTTTACCTCATTACACTTCCTTTTTCTGCTTGGAAGCAGAAGTTCGGAAATTGTTGCCGCAGACCTCTTGCTGGCTGTGTTTCGTCTCTGGCCAGAACCCAGACGATCCTGAATGTTGCAATAAAACCTGCTGTGATAGTGCCAGTCTCTATTTGCATTGATAAAGTTTGGGCAAGAATCTCCTTGAACTCAACGCTGGACCCTCTGACGTTGGCTTACTGTCGTGGAGCTTTGCTAGTCCTGGCATTATAGGGCTTCTGTGAATTGGCTTCACAGTGTGTTTTTGAATTTGTGGTGGCCCTTTACTAGCAATGCGGTTTTTCTTAGTTTCCCACAGTTGGTCCGTATTTAGCATTTCCTGTGCACGCTTCCTTTGCATTGTGTCTTGAGCAGGCTCAAAATCGGTAGAAAACCAGGCGTAAAGTAGAGAGGAGAGATGAAGAATGTGTGTGTTGTCTAAATCGCTCGCAGAAGGATAATGGAAATATTGGAGGATTCTTTTGTGTAAAACACCCTATAGGAAGATTTAAATTATGATGCAGATGGTCTTTAGACTGTCTTTAGAAGTACAGAACTACCTGCCAAGGCTGGGACTAGAGTTACGCAAAAGAGCAGGGCTTTACATTCTCTGAAGATTACCTTTGCACTTTGCACATTAAGTTTTACACATTAACTAAGTCACAAAGCTGTTGCGTTGTGCACGTTTTGACATGACATTGCTGCTGAATGCGGCTGACTCATTTACTTGCCAAAAACATGGCTTATGCTTTATTTGTACCCTGGCTATTCCGCCTGTGCTGCCTTTCCTGCGGTAAAGTCGCCCCTGCTCCGTTTCCCCGGGGACTGCCTTCCTCCATCATGAACCTTTCCGAGGGTCTCGCAGTCCTTCGGGTTTTCTCCTGGAGCTGTGGGCAACTCAGCGGCTGACGACAACTGCGGTGGGACGTCCCAACCTGGGCCCTGCGCTGCACCAAAGGCTGATGGCCTCCGGAAAAATGTTCTCATTAGTGGCTGTGCCCAGATGCAAGCGCCTGGTTTACAAGTGCACGTGCAGGAAGCTTCGTGCTGCTAGTGGCCGGCTCCACCTTTGGCTTAGGGTGACTACCCGGGGGTACTTTCTCTAGCCTGGAATTTGTGAAGCCATAACTCAGCTCTGCGTTAGGTTTGTGGTGATCGCAGCAGCAGAGAGACCAAGGAGGTGATCAGGGGCACAAGCACAGTGGCCGAGAGCATCGCCATGTTGTGTCTGTGTTCGTGGTGGAGGATTATGACTTGGTGCATGCTGGGGAGTCATGGTGCACCTGCCTGAAACTTCCCAAAAAACCGAGAGACCAGAATACCACTACTTTCCAGTCGTACCCATGTTTACCAGGAAGGCTTCAAAACCCAGCAACAAATGCAGTCAGGGGTTACAGTCAGGACGGGATGTCTATGACGCTAACTGTGGCATCATTCATGTAATATTTTTTGTCATGCAAAAGTCAACCCAAAGCATCACGCTGTTCCTGCTGTGGTCACTTGGACGTTTTCCATGGCTTCCATGGGAGCGGGAGCCAAACTCTGAACCCTTTTAGGAACTGTATGAGCTGCTTTCCGAGCTGGTGCTGGCCCAGCTGAGCAGGGCACTTCTGTGGTTAATAAAAGCTCCTGCATCCCATCTTCAATCTTGTGTCCTGAGTGACCGTGATCCGATTCAGGATTCACAATGCTGTGTTCATTAGATTTGGGATAATCTAATGATTAATTCTATTAATTCTATGAAGGAATAAGCAAAAAGTTATAAACTAGATGCAGAGTATATATTTTCCTGATGTCTCACTTTGTAGAGGACTTGCCGTATCTGAGCCCCAACAGAGCAGGATCTTGTATGACGTGTGCTGAATGTCTCTTAAGCGTTAGTTTGATCCTGGTTTCATCACTGGGTGCATCCGATCCCAGTAATTTAGAGGTACAGGCAGTGTCCAGGAATGCGAGAGTGGTGTGGGATGAGAGCTGTCTGAAATGAAGGACGTTGCCTGCACTTGGAGGTAATTGAAGGGCAGGCACCAGACCTGGCTGGAGGGGAAGGAGCCAAACAAGGTAAAAGAATTAGCAAGTCCTAGCTCCAGTGTGAGGAGTGTTTGATTTAATTAAAACGTACAGCACCGGGGGAAGTAATGAACTGCTTGTAAGCTGCATGATGAAATCCAGCTGTAGTCTGTTGAAAACAAACAGACTGGTTTCCCTCGAGTTTCCAGAACATGAGTATGGACAGTGCTTCATTTTTACAGGCGTTGTTTTGTGCTGCAGGATTATAGGGGGTGGATGAGTGGTTGTAACTCCTGAGAGAATTTTTTTATGCCATTGGTGAGGCATTGGCAGGGTATTGCTGAGTCTGTCGGTGTTATTTCCAGGGCTGAACGCAGTTCTGCGGATAACAGCCGTCGGTCTCCAGGGCTGCTAGTTGGGCAGCTGTCACTGGTGCACTGTATGTTGGCCTCAATTGGCAAAACATCCTTTTGGAGGAGAGTTTATTTCAGAGGATGCAGAAATCTGTTCCCTCCAGGAAAAGGAGGGACTGTTTTTGCTGAGATCAAGAACATTTGTGCTTGTCTTAGTGGTTAATGCTCTTGTGAGAGTGGAAAGGATGAGTTTTTCTCACAAAAAAAAAAGCCCCAAACCAACAACCCACCCCTGTGGTGATCATCTTAAAAGTTGATCCTTCCAAATGCAGTGTTGGGTAGGACGTAGGTGATGTTGGGTAGGAGGTGTGAACTTGGCCTTCTGCAGAGACGCTGGCTGATGCACACGAATAGACTCCCGTGTTTCAGCTCGGCTAAAGTGGTGCTTCGTTAGTAGAGAAGTGATTCACGGGAAGTGAATTTTGTCTTCTCTGTGTTAAAGTTTGAATGGGTAGCTAGTTTCACATGCAGTGGGGTTTTTTTCTAGGTCTTTGCATGCTGTAGTCATTACTTCTAAAGTTGAAACGTTAATTGCACTGTTACAAAAAGGTCCATATTTACTTTCCTGGGCAGCACCTTAATAAATAACTGCTAATAACTTTCTTTATTGCATTTCAGGCAGCAGCAGCTGGTCTCAGCTATGTTGGGGCATATGTCATTAACACCTACAAGAGCTACGACAACTTTCTGCAGGACAAGTATGCTGTGTTGCCAGCCGTGATCATTATTTGCGTCGCTGTGGTAATGTTCATCATTGGGTTGATCGGCTGCTGTGCCACCTTCCGGGAGTCTCGAGTTGGTCTAGGGCTGGTGAGTGTTGCGCGGTCTCGCATGTCCTCTTCTTCACCCTGTTGCATGGCATGGGAGGGTGCTACGCTAGACCTTCTCAGGATGCACAGAACATAAAGTAAAATATTATTTTGAAATATACTGCTGAAGCACCGCTCTGTCGTGGGAGTTATGTACTGCTGTGACGCACTGATTGATGGGGAGTGAGTGAGGTGCAGGCTAAATTATTAGTTGCACTGCCTTTGTACAGACAAATACCCACAGTCATGGGCAGTTTCATGGCTCTGCCTCAGCTAGCTTACTGGAGGTAAGTGTGGAGAGTAGCAAGTTTTGAGAAGGAGGGTGACGGTGAGGGAACAGGAGGAGATGTGAATTTCCAAAGCAAGCAAAAAAAAAAAAAGTATTTTTCTGCTGATTTTAGTTCTCTGAATCCTGAAAGTATGCCCCCACTTCTTCTAGAATGACTTTTACAAACCCAGAGAGGTTCAAGCTGAGTAACTTCGGGCTCCCAGCTCATGCCTTGAAGGCAATACGAGCTCAGCAAGCAGTGCCCAACGTACCTAACTAAGCTGCTGGTTTATTTGTGCAGTGTCCTGTTCGACAGCCGCCTTGTGAAATGTTTTGTAGGCTCTTCACACAGCTCACGTCATGGCAGTGTTCAGGAGACTGCCCCCACTGGGCACAGATCCTGTGGAACCACAGTCATAGTCCCAGCCGCGCACAGTAATCTCCTATTCTAAATTATTTTCTGGAAATTATTTTGATTGGAGAGGCAACAACAGATAATGATAACTTACTACTATAAATTAATGTGATGGGTAATGTGCAATTGAATTCAAATGCTGTGGAATTCTCCCCTACAGTCTCTCTCTTTTAATTTCAGTTCTTGGCCATTATCCTGGTTATCTTTATTGCAGAAGTATCTGCTTTTGTCCTGGGATTTGTTTACAGGGAAAAGGTAAGCAAAGAATTAGCATCTCTATACTAACCTAAAAGTAGAGAATAGATCTTGTGGTGTTAGAGCATTCCAATATATCCAGTTTTCTTGCACTTCATCCCCTATCCTGCAATCTGCAGGGCAAGTGGGAATGGGGAAACCACCGTCCGGTACGTGGATCAGTCTGTCAGGAACATGGTGAATACATAAAGTAGCTGGCAGGCATCGCAACAATCTCTAAGTTGGATTAAACAGTTGTTGATGCTCACAAAGGAGGGCTCTTCCATCGGGGGAGGCAAGCTTCTATCCAGGAACGTGATTCTGGTTAAATGCTACATACATTTTATCTAAAACATCACTTGAATTTTTTATTTTTAATTATTTTTTTCCCCCCTGACTTAGTTGGGATACAGACCTTTTGCAGTTCCCACTCGACAAAATTCTTAGCTCTCATGTTAAAACAATATGGGTTTTTTTTTCCTCTCTAAATAGAGAAAAACTGACGTGCAAGGCACAATGCGCTCAGTCTTTGAGAAGTATGATGGGAAAAATCCAGAGTCTACTGTTGTGGATTACTTGCAAGAACAGGTAAGAAAACATTTAAATTGTCCCGAGACTTATTTAGAAAAGAACGATTGGGTCCTAAGCAAGGAATTTGGGCTGGGAAGGGAGGGGAAGAGGGTCAGTATGGTCGTATCCTGGAACTCGGCTCTGGAGCAGTGTTTAGCATCTGATTCTCCAAGGCAATTGAGGGTGCTCCCCACTTCGCAGAGGTGGCATTTTCAGGCTCCTGGTGTGAAGTTCACGTAAATGAATGATCTTGTTGACACGAGTGGCCTTTGGATCAGACCAAATGAGTACGTATGAATAACTGCTGCTGGGAGTCCTGTGCCATAAAACAGAAAGATGACAGAAGACTCTATCCTGCAACGTGTCACTTTAATGTTAGAGCTTTCACAAAGAATGAACTAATAAGGAGGTAAAGTTGACCTGTTGTATTTACTACTGTTTTCCTGAAATCCTGCTACTTGTAAATCTGCCACATACTGCGGGCAGCTCTTGTCCAGTATGTGTAAGAGAGGTTGAATTCAACATTAGCATTCAGGTTCACGTATATTCGTACATCCCTGTAACGATCCTGTGTTTGGCAGCTTCATTGTTGTGGGGTGAAGAACTACAGTGACTGGACAACCACACAGTGGTTTAATTCCACCGGTAACAACAGTGTCCCTCTGAGCTGCTGCAGGCGAGATACAAAGAACTGCACAGGGCGTCTGGATCAACCGCAGGAACTCAATACGCGGGTGAGGATAAAGGGCACGGTTTCACAGCTGGGCCGAGATCATTCTCAGCCAGCCAGAACCAATGAGGAAAGCACTTCAGACAGGGTTTAGGGATAACTTCATCCAATTCGTTTCAGCAATCTGTCCCCCAAGCCCCTTTCTCCTCATAATTTTCCTCTAGCTAACTTCTCATATTATTCTATAAAAGCTCCTAGATGATGAAGGAGGGGCACCAGTCTGGATGTTTGGTCTTGTCTGTCTGCTGGTAACAGTCCTCCATTTCGTGTTACTACAGAAGCAACATGACAAGGCTAGAGCACTAGCTGTGGGCACGCAGTTGTTCAAACAGATCTGGGGTAGGGGAAGAGACTCTTCTAGGATTGACCATGAATCTGGAGAATTGCATACCAGGTTCTTCAGCCTGGGGCACAAGCCCATAAATTGCCTTTTATAGATACCATTGCTGGTCTTCCTGGCCCTGAGTTTTGGGCACTTCTTTAAGTGACGTGAGCCAGAGGAGATTCTGGGAAGCAGCAAATGTCAGTGCCTCTCCCCAAGCAAGAGGTGAACAGCAAGCCATCGGGTCTGGAAGACAAGAATGGAAGCCCTCAGTGCAGTGGTTGGTTAGACAGGCCCTACAAGGTCCTGCTTCCTTTTAAGTGTCGGGGAGGAAAAAAAACCCAAAAAACATCCAGCTGAATTACATCTTTTGATTTGTTTTCACCCATCTCTTTCACGGCAGGGCTGCGCAGAAGAGCTGGAGTCTGGGCTGCAGAGCGTTATCAGCTATGCCATGCTTGTAATCCTGGGGTTTGCCATTGTAAAGGTAAATGTTTTATCTCTTCCCTCATGGAAAATAATACTGTTTATCCTTTGATCCCGGGGCTTTTTCCTCTACCGTGTCCTATTAGCCTACAGCCTTTTCCTGGCTCTGAAGTAGACCCAGGCCTCTGCTCCTCGCTTGTTTTCTTCCAACTTTCTCCAATTCATCTGCATGATGGTAAGGGGAGGGATGCAGAATGCCAGTAGGGGATTTGGGATGGCAAGTCAACGGAGAATCCATCTTGGTCGTTTGGTAGGAAGTACAAAAAGCTGGGTGTGTTTAAAAGGCCTAGATCTAGAATTCTTTATTAAAACAACCAGCTTTGGTATATTTAACTGGGATTTAAAAAATTGCTCATCGAAGTTTGTTTTTTAGATATAACCCAATTAAAAGTCCTGTGCTTAGAGACCTGGAATTAAAATGGACTAGAAATATGACTAGGAATGAAACCAGCAGGGCTATTTATAGACTTATAAGATTGAATTAAATGAAATGTGAAACCAGATCATCTTGTGGGTGAAAACTAGATTTGAAACGCCCTGATGTAAAACTCCTTGCAGTTGGCACATCACAAAGTTGTGTAGGCATTTCTTTGAAGATTTGACCCATAAATTTTAGCCTGGTGGTTTGTCATTGTTCCCTGTACCTGTTCTCCAACCTGTTCCTTGTTGACAGAGATTTGAACCATTTAACAACAGCAAAGTGTTTTTTCTTTGAATATCTGCTCTCTATAATAAAGAGTGGCTGTAAGGTGAGCCAGTGCAGAACACTTGCCGTTTAACATCCCACTCCTGAACTCAATGCAGAAGCCAAAATCTATCCAGATGTCATCTCAGGACTGGGGCTTGATTTAGTTAAACTTTCCTTTTCCTAATTTTGGCCCTAGCAGAGAGGTGATTGTTTACAGCATTTGTTCTCGTGGGCTTAAATGGCTCAGCGACGTCGCTTCCATCGTTTCCCTTCCCTCTATAAAAGTGATGAGTTCTACACTCCATTACATGTCCCGTTACTATTTGTGATGATCCCTCCCGCCAGGATCTCTCCTGTGATCATCTCTAAAGATTGCCTTTATTTGCATATTTTATGTGCTTAAATATTTTACAGAACTCACTTTAAGTCCAGAATAATCCCATGCTTTCACTGAAATTTTTCCCACAGTGAGATAACTAGGAATTAATGTGGATGTGTAAATTAATGGGAGAAACCAGGGAGGAAAAAGTTGAGCTGGAACTGTTATTGGAAATTGATATGCAACAAAATCACTTTCTGTAGATGTATTTTTCTCAGTGTTTCTTAATACGAAAAGAATGTCCTTACTACGATGAAAAAGTCTAATGAACATACGGGTGTTGGGTCTGATGACTGAAACAAAATACAGCAGAACTAAATCTCTCTCTCTCTCTTTTTCAGTTCTTTGGCATGCTGAGTGTCTGCGTGCTTACTTGCAAGAGAGAAGACAGTGGATATCAGCCTCTTTACTCAGGGGTGTTTACTTAATAAAATGCAAAGATCACTTTTTTTTTTGCTTCCTGATGATAAAATAGACTTGTAAAGATGAATGCTAAAGGACAATTTATGACCTTCTTGCTAAATATTTTATGTGTATGAAACAGAAAGAACATTGTGTATTGACTTGGGAAAGTTTCTTGCGGGTGACGCGAAATGGCAATTTCAATATTCGGTGCCTTACAGTAACGTACCCTGATCTTGCATACCACAGCTTTCTGTAAGGTTCTTGTAGATTTGGATTTGTGACTTTAGATAGCACCAGATGGTGTAATAGACTCCAGAAAAAAATCTTTCTTCTGCAGTTCTTTCCTCTACCCTTAAAACACACAGAAGAAATCTTATTTTTAATCACTAAACTGATTGAGACCGTGGGAGGGGTTTCAGTTGTCTGCACAAACATCAGATGATTCCCATGGCATGGTTAAATAGCAAATGAAACTTTTGAATGCCAGGTTCAAATATTTTTCATAAGTGTGAGGAGTTAGAATAAGTTTTCTCTATATCTGATGGTGTTTCTGGTTGGTGGTTTTTTCCCCCTCCTTCTTGTGGTCGTATGTTGTAATTCAGTTTACTGCAGAGGTTGTCCGTGCAAGACAACCCCGTGTTCAAAGTCTAGAACAGACATTTGAGTTGTTTTTTGAAGCAGCTAGCAAATGTGAACAATCCCAGGTTAGGAGGGGACGTACGTCTTGAGCTTTTGGGCTCGGGACGTCTCTCCTTGGCTTGGGTTTTTTTTGTCTCTTTTTTATTATTATTTGACATTAAAGATTGCTTATGAAGAGGGACTTTTGAAATTTTTTTTCTCCTTTTACTGATGCTTTAATGGTTTGTCTGAAAGACAGACCATGTCTCTCCGTTTAGTGTAGAAGTTGCAAGAGTTACTGCGATGAATACAGGCTGGAAGATGGGGGTCGCAGGCCGCGTTAGCTCGGTGTGGTTGCGTAGGCAGGACCGCTGGAGGGGTTAGCGCAGCCGTTCCTGCGTCACTGCAGGTCTGGCTGCTTTTCACTGCTAAAAATGTTAAGATGATGCATTCTCGTACCAAGCGTTTTCAATAACCTATTGTCTGGAGGCATCATGCGACTCCTTGTTTGCTAGCTTTCCTTTTTCCTTAAAGGTCTGCTGAATGCAGTCACTCCTTGGATTGCATCACTGCTTTAAAAACGGTCCTTTCTTAACACATTTGCATGTTAATCTGTTTCTCAGTTCTTCAGGGTTTTTTGGTTGGTTTTAGAGCTGTGATGTGGGGAGGGAGGGAACTCCGAGCTGTTCTTTATTCGGGAATTGTGGAATAGCAACAGTGCATTTGCTTAGTTTTTCTTTGGAGAGATAAGCACTCTATCCTTAGCGATAAACCTTTGTATCTGCAGCTAATTAGGAGAAAAGGAGTTTGAGGTAAATGTAAGCTCTTTATTTATCTTTTCTTTCCCTCCCCGAGAAAAAAGCAATGGGTGATGACTGTGTTCTGTAGGAGACATACCGTTACGTGTATGTTGAAAAGTGACCTAACTTTTATAGAGGGCTTTGTCTCTTGTTGAATGCCGAAATAAACTTAATTTATATAACCAATTAATAAACTCTGTGGGGGTTTTTTGTTGTTGTTGTTGGCGGAATCCCAGAG